CATACATATATATATATATATATATGAGTGTATATATATTTACACATAGATACCTTCGGCTTATAAGTACAAACGATTCCCTGGGTCAACAAAAATCACACAACGTAATATTCAACTAATTGCAGAAGTCTGATAGTCGTTCATTATATTATGTATAAACTGGCAACAATAAACAGTCCCCGTTTTTAATCATCGTGTTTTCGACATGTTTCATCTTTCTTTCTCTTCCTGGAATCTCTGTTAAAAAATACGATATACAGAAGTATAATAGATGTAATATAGTGCAGGCCTAATTTCACTAAATCTATTTTGTAAATATTTTCCAGGATTAAATTAATTAGATCATAGTGATAATAAAAATATGACCGAAGTTTTAAGCAGCAAAACTTATTCGAAAAATTCGCGACAATTATTTAGAATACAATGTTTCTCCTTTTTTTATCAAAAATTAATTCTCGAAGCAAGAATAGAAAATCTCAGAAATTAGAGTTTCGAAGTACTATTTCAAAGCGGTCTAGAAAGCAATAGGAGATCCTCCGGGAAGAGAGATGAACGGGGAAGACACGTCGTCATCTTGCCTGCGATACTTGGAAGATTTAAAGCACCGACGCCTCGGTTCTGCCGGTCGGCGGCGTCGTCGGGTGACCGCTGGCGTTGTTGTTGTTATTGTTATTGTTATTATTGTTGTTGCTTGCCTCACCGGCATGACTCGAGCAGTAGAATTTCTTGTGAGCAATGAAGGTGCTCAGATAGTTGAAGCTGATGTCGCAGGAGCGACAGTAGCGCGGTCCACTCTTGCTGCTGTCCAGACTTTCATCCGGTGATGGCGAATCCTCGCGCTCTTGTTTCACCTTGCTGGGGAGCGACGGTGGCAATGACGGCGGAGGCGGCGGCAGCGGTGCTGGTTGCGGACTCTTCCTTATTTCCGTTTTGCCGTTCATTTGGATCTCAGCGGGGATCTCCTCTGGCGTTGTAGCGGCTGCAGGTTCCGGTGTCGGCAGTGTCGCCTCGTCGTCGAGCACGCATGTTATATAATTCTCCTCCTGGGAGACAAGAATGTTTCGTAAGAATCTCTCAGTCAAAGACGCGTCTTCAAAAAATATTTCCTAAAAGAAAAAATTTAATCTGGTCTACTAAAGAAATATTGATCATTACAGCATGAAATCTTGCAGCGACATTGGAATAAAATTTTGCAGATTTCATAGACTCTTTTTTAATTACTTCAGCAATATGTTGCAAAAATATTTCAAAAATATTATGAAAGATAATTTCCTTTGCTTTAGTCACGAGCAGTACCGCTACAAGATGGACACGGCGGAGTTTTATTTCTCGTAAATAAAAAAATCACACACAAGATAGAATAAAAAACGCAGTATCATGAATTTTTCCACCTATGTTCTAATAAACTGATTTCTTAAAAAGCGTATCAAAAGTTTGAAAAATGAAAAGAGATTTTACAATTTTTGTTCTTCTATATAAAAATTAATTATCGAACGTATGATACTTATTGTACTGATTACATGATATTTTTGGAAGTTGTGATAAAATATATATAAATATAATATAATGACATCTAAAATAATAGAAACATCAAAATGTATTGTAATACTGCTACAATGTTGCATTGCAATATTTTTAAAGACGAACATTTTACCATTGCTGTAATGTTGTAACGAAATATTTCTGGAATTTTGTTGTGCAATATGGACATATTTGATATATTTGTCCAAAGGTTCAGTGATTAAAAAATGCAAAATTTGTTAAAGTTTAGTTCGTTCCTAGACTTAGAAAGAATTAATTAGTTATTGACAGAAGGAATGCGACATGAAGTTTAAAGGTAAGAAAAAGAAATGTACCTGCAGATCTGTACCACGCTTCTCGAAGTGCATTC